AAATGAAATTGAATCTCAAGTTCCTTTCTACCTTTAAGCATGTGCTATGTATTACATTTCCAAAAGTACACAGAAATATTTAGCAAAGAGATACCTTAATTCTGCAGTAGTCCTTTATGTCTGGGTAATGTTTAAGATCTAGATTATAATTTGATATTTGCTTTTTAGAAGGTAATAATTTTGAAGCTGCTAGTACTGGCTTTTCAGTACTTGTGTAGACAACAGATGTAAAGAAATATCTAGCCTGAATAAAGAGATTGAGCATGCTATTGTAAAAAAATATATATGTGTTTCATTAGGGTAATGGCTATTTAGATCAGATCAAGTGATTGACTATTTTTCTAATGTCCTGTGGAATTAGTACTCTCAGAAATCAATTGTGGTTATTTTATGTAGTCAATCTTACTGAAAGTCTCAATCAAAACCAATATTCAAGAAAGTGGAGCCCTGGAGTGATCACAGCCAGGCCCAGTTGATGACTTTTCTCAGATCAGATACTGTGGCACTGAAGATATCAAGTGATGCTGATTTCTTTGCAAGAAAAAGAGAAGAAAATCAATGGATTTCAGAAGTACAAATTTATAATACTACATACCACCAGTAATGCATGGAGCCAGTCCCAGCCAAGTATTTCTTGACTCTGTAGACTAGAATGCAGCAAGCCACATTGGCCAAGTAGCTACTGATCTGAGAACAGAACCTTAACCTGGGGATGGGTTGGGGGTAGGGGAGTTGTCTTTGTATAGGAGTGGCAGAGAAGTGACATCTAGAAGGGAAGGTGAAGACAAGATCTTTTTCAAAATTCCTTTGGGTTTCTTGTTGTTGCAGTTATTACTTTTTTGAAATTTTTTTCTGGAAATATACCTAAAATCTTCCTCCTAACTTTTTTTCTATCACTTCTCCCACAACAAGAGACTGTATGGAAGCAAGAGGTCAAAGCAAAAGGCTTAATGAAGTGTGAAGGTGGGGGGAGGGAGAGAAAGAGAAGGAAGTTCGAGGGCAGGGCTGAATAGGGGGGGAGGTGGGTTGGCTGTTCAGACTCATACATTCACAAATCACAAACACAAATAATGTGTTGGAAAGTGTACTGTAGTAGATTTTCAATATCAATAAAAAACCCTTTTCTACTCTGACTCCTATCAGTATGGAGAGTCAGATGCATGTAAAAGTTCTCATAAGGCCCATAAGAAAGGAATAAATGAGCTGTTAAAGAAGCTTCCGATCATATCTAAAAGGTTGAGGTTGCCCAGGGACTGCTCTAGTCCTTTATGCTACTTCCTTGGCTTAAAAGCACTCCAGGCCCTTCATACCCCCAGCTTGAAAGGAGCCCTTCACGTCAAGGCTAAATCCAAGCTTGCCAGTTCTGGGTCTGATTAGGGTTTTCTCAGCCTTTTCCCATCGCCCAAACTGAGAGGGAAAAGCTTTGCTGCTAGCAACCGCACGACTCCCAGGAGCTCGAGGAATAGAAGCTTTCCCTATGGTTCACAGATCTGACACTCAAACATTCAGATCTGCTCTATAATTAGCCCTTGATAGGGCTAAGTCCACCTGCTTAGTAGTGATGGTAACTCGCTACTGTAAACGACTTCAGAACACCTGATGTCTCCAAAATACAGTTCTCCTTCCTCTTCTTCAATATAACTACAGTTTTGTTTTGGTTTTGCTTTCTTATTTGGAACCATTGATACATATATAAACTTTTTTTAAAAACCCTACTACAAACTTCAGTCCTCCTGTACCGGACTCTGGGCACCTAGCTAATCTGGCACCAGCCCATCTCAATTCCAAACAAAAACATGATATGGAAGCAGGAGAAATGCGAAGTGAACAGGTGAAAAGAATGTGAAGTGAGAAGATGAAAATATTAGAAAACACCAGCAATCTCTAGGAAAAGCTGACAAAGGAAAGTTAAACAATAGTGAACTTTCTCAGTACTAAAACTGTGATCAACTAAGCCTCTGCTGGCGGGTCACTTAGCGCAGGCCCGGCATACCAACTAAGTCAGACTAATTCACCAACAGTGAATGCTCCACGGGTTCCCAGAAAAGGGCCTCATGAATGAGAAGCTGTTGCTAGGTTTCCTTCCTCCCTTAATTCGTTTTCTCCTCCTCCTCAATTCCCCTCAAGACTTTTAAAACCAAAAGAAACAGCCCAAAGACCTCTAGCTTTGCCGAATTTGCAGACAAGGCTACACACACACAGTCCTAGTATGAGCCCGTACCGTCGAAGGTTTCAGGACCCTGGAGAGCAGCAATGGCTCCTTAACGTTTGACCTACTTAGCCCCAAGGCTTTTGGCACCCTGCTATTTTACAATCAGTGGGTAAGCCAGGGGTATACCAGCCACTCTTTCCTTCCTGCTCCACATCTACTCCATTTTTTTTTTGTTTACCAATGGCCTTGGACATAGACTACCTTAGTTTAATTCCTAGTTCCTTCATTTAATTTCTAAATACACTAGGTGGTTCCTTTCAGCTCTCCTTTCACTTTTCGCCTTCATTTTGCTAGGCAGAGTCAGGCTGGGCTGGATCTCCTGATCTACAAGCTATATTTTCACCTACAGTTCCCACGGTTTGTTAGCCACAGGAAAACACATTCAGTTGTTTGGGGGTTTTTTTGGGGGGGAGATCTGTTTATATGTGCATACGGTTTGTTTTGAATTTCTATAGACATAGATAGCCTGATAAGGCTTCCTCTCTGGAGTCCTCTAAATAAAATGCTTTCTCATGTCAACACCCTCCCCCAGGTCGCCTAAGAAAGCAGCAAACAGTGACCAACCAGAAAGGCCAATGGTTCAAATATGTTCAGGGCATGCCATGGTGACGAAAGTCCTATTTTGTTTGTGCAGGATTTTTAGCGACAGTACCAGCTGTAAGGCGGGTTCAGATCTCAATAATCAGGTCTCTTTTCTGTATATTATCAAAAAAGCAGAGCCAGGAAACCCTTTGGTTGCCAAGACTAGTCTGAGGTTGGTCTTTATTAACTCTAGCAGGGCTATTATCATGGAAGTGTTTCCTAGATGTCTATTCCTATGGAGCCAAGTTGACCATTGCCAAGGCACCTTAAGGGTCATGCATGTTCAGCTTAGGGAAGAGGTTGAACAAACAACTGTATATTCTCCAATCCTCAAGAACTGAGTTTTGAACATGCTTGTAGAAACACGGGAAAACTGAAAGAGGATAGAAAGGATTAAAACAACAACAACATAATGTTGGCTTTGTCCTTTTTTTCCTCCTCAGGAAAAAAAAACCTACAGCCTTATAGGGAAAGAAAATCTCTGGCTGCAAGCTGGCTCGACTGTGACTGGAACCAATAGTAATGGTGTATTTGTTTTGTTGTTTTCTTTCCTCATTCCCACCCCCATTCCCATTGCCCTTGCCCTGCACAGCCGCCTCCAGACCCCTCTGCTGGCCCGAAAGCTGCCAGACTCCTTTTTAGCCTGCTCTCTGGCTTCTCTCGCTTCTTCTCTCATCTTCTTCAGCAACCCCCACTTCAGGCTCACAGGCGTCGTCCTGACTTTTCCCCTCTGCTTCCTGCTCTGCCAGCTGCCGCCCTCACTCGCTGCTGCCCAGTTTCTGCAGGGCCCTTTCTCTCCTGGCGGGAGGCAGTAGCTCCAGGTCGTTTCAGAGTCTTGCTCTGGACAGCCCTGGCTCTGCCCATCCGCAAATCTTGGGAGAGTCAGCCAAGACCTACATGGAAAGACGCCCGGCTCGGGAAAGAGGATGGGACTACTTGGCAAACCTCGTCCATCCCTGTGAGTACGCTCTTCTCAACCAAGTTCCTTTACTATTACCTTAGCCTAATCTCACTCTCAGACCGCACCGACGTCAGCCTACAATTGCCCAACCTAACCTCAGTTTTTCAAAAACGTTGCTACTTCCCACCTCTACGGTAAGAGGAGTGAATCAACAGAAGGAACAGCGGGAACATTTAGGGAAACTAGGACTAAACATGGCCCGGCTTACTTAATAATTGATGGATAGAAACGTCTCCAACATCTCTATTTTTCCAAGGACAGATTCAAGGCTATTTTTCCTGGTGCATTTCCTATCTTTAGTTCCCCTCAAAAGCTTCCAGTCACCATTGCTACTCCTACGATCTGCTTTTAAAGTTCCTCCTCCTCCTCCTCCTCCTTCCTCTCCTCCTCCTTCTTCTCTTTCTCCTTCTTTTCTTCTCCTCCTCCTCCTCCTCCTCCTCTTATCTTTTCTGCCTACCGCCTTCCCCATACCTAGTTTCCCTATCTGTCTTTCTGTCACCAGGGCTCCCGAGAAATGAGAGGAAATGACGTGATGTTATTCATATGTCAGGTCAGTTTACAGCTTCAGAGAAATATTATTTAGTCCTTCTAGGTCCGGCGCAAAGCCCCCAAGCGCACGCAGCTACTGATTTCCAAGTGTAAACTCTCTCAATTGGAAGATGCCTCATTTCCTTGCCAGTTCCTTTACTGTTTCCTTTGCCGAACCAGTGTTGTTTCTGCAGGTGTGGGTGGGGAAAAGAGTTTTCCGTATTACCTCAGGACCAGAGTGTTTCTCCCAAACCGGTACTCCGGCTCTCTAATGTGTGTCTCAGGAGATGATGAGAGAAGTCTTTTCTCGATGGCATCTCTCTGGGTCTGGTTTCTAGGGTTAGACACAAAGGGCGGGTAAGTGTTAGCCTTTCTTCCTGACCTTAGGTTGGATTCAAGAGAAGAGCAGGCTTGGCTCGATTCTAGAAGAAAAGAGATGGCAGTGATTAAAGGCAGGAATGGGGGGCATCAGGACAGGGCAATATGTCTCTGAACTGAGAAGACGTAGAATGTAGCCCTTCAGACAAAAGTGCATCCTGGAATTTTTTTTTATGTAGTTAAAAAAAATCTAAACACGTAGAGCCTTCGACCCGACTCCGCTCCATCCCACACTCCACACCCCAGTAGTTCACTTACCACACTTAACTTAAGCACAGTCCCACATATTCTTGCATACACACACTCGCGCGCACACGCACACATAGAATGCTTTGTCCCACCCACCCACTCCATTCCTCCCTCACAGATGTGGCTCTGCGAACTCCATCTGTACATTGCCTATCGTTCGAGTAAACACTTCCAGTATTTCATAATCCAAAGAGCTTTGGGTGAAGCATGAGTGGGGGAGGAGAGAAAGAACAACACAAGACAACGCTAAGCACCTCCGCTCTTTTTCCTTTGACTTGTCAAATTACAGCTGTGCTCAGCTTCCGCGGGGGAAATGCTGCTGCTGTCCAGGGACTGGGTGAGGAAGCGAGCTGTTGTTACCCGCTGTCCTTTCCGAGGGGATACTTTTATTCAGTCTCCCTGGTGTTCATGGTTCACTTCTCATTTACTCCAATCTAACCCACGCCTCCTCCCTGTTTTATGCTGCCGCCCGTTGCCGCTGCCTCTGTGTTTGCCTCTCTCTCCCCACCCCAGCAGCAGCAGCAGGAGAGGCTGGAAGCAGAACCTGGGAAGCTAGCTGGCAGGGGAGTAGGATTAACTGCAGAGAGGACCTTTATTTATTTTTATTTGTAGTCAGAAAGGGAGGGAATAGGGAGTAGGAGTAAAGAGGTAGGGGCGGGAGGAGGCAATGGAGTGAGTGGGATAGCCACTATATATAAGAATAACAATCATCAATATTTAAAAAAAAAAAAAAAAGAAAGAAAAGAAAAGAAAAGCTGGGGGACGCATGCGCATGGCTGGCGAGCCGCCGTCCCTGGGTGAGGAGCCCGCCGCTAACCGATCGGATCAAAGCAAAGATTTCCATCTGTCTCCCGGTACTGATGGTGAAATTGTAAGTACCGACATCTTCTCTCCCTGGCTCCTTTGCTCCGCCACCGCCAAGCACCCCCTACCTTCCCTTTCTTCCCTTCCCTAAAGTTGCGGAACAAAGTGGACTACCTTCGGGGTGGGGAAGTTCTCGAGCCGACACTGGGCGGAGGCGGGGGCTAGGGGTTCTTAGCTTTATTTTCTCGGTTGGGGGCAAGAGGAGAGAAGCTTCTTGCCGTTTCTCTTTGGAGAATACAGCCCCTTTTTTTCCGCAAAGAAGGCACTTTTTTTCCCCTCAAAAAAAGTGTACGGCGTCGAAGGGTCATTCTTTCCGTCCTTTACTTTCCTCCATTCATTTTTAAGTGCTTTGGTTTGAGTTTGGGTTTTTTTTTTCTTAATGACTTGAATTTCTATGGGATGTGCGGGGAGGGGTCATTAGATCGATTATTTGTGTGGGTCTACCTAGCGATTGCAGAATTAAACTGACTCTAGCTTAAATGGATTAATTACTAGGAAGGAGGTGGGGTGGTAAGGGGAGCCGAATAGCTTTGCATTTAAACTGCAAAATGAGTTTTAACAAACTAAGGGACATTCCAGGAGCTCAGAAGGGGAGAAAATGATTCTCGAACTTGACAGTCAATGGGGGTGGGAGAGTTTAGGTGCAACCGTTAGTAAGGAAGACCAAAACGACAGCAACAACCATCCGAATAATAAACTATGTCTCTTCTGGAGAAGACACTACCCTGGAATTGGGGTGGGGAGGGGAGGTGGAGAAGGAAGCAGGTCGGAAAAGTGGTGGAAGAAGTTAGATGCCTCTGATTTCAGGTATTCTGAGGAGAACGAGAGTCAGTTACTGCATTTTCAGAGAGCTCTACTTCAGGTCTCTAAGGAGTGAAAATCTAAGACATTAATAAACTGAGCCCTCCCAGACGTGTGGGATTGGGGAGTTTCGACAACCCCTCCTTGAACAAACCCGTGAATTATTAGCCTCAGCTGGAAGATCGAGGAGCTACGAGCGGAACTGGAGGAAGTTTGTAATTGTAAGGTGTAGGAGCTGCGGAGAGGATGGCAGCTAATGGTCTTGAGGCCACTGGCATGAGGGGGAATAAGGGCTTCCACCTCCAAGGGGCAGAAGTGGAGTCTACAGTGCAGGAGCCTGTGGCCTCATTCTCCCCTGGGAAGAGTGCCTTCCCCCCCCACCCCCAGAGCTGTATGAAACAGACGACTGAGCCCTAAGGACAGTAATCCCCAAGCTCTAGGGTTGGGGACTGGGGGTGGGGGGTGGGAGGAAGGGGAGACAGAAGATGAGTGGGTTTCCGGAATTCAGAAGAGAAAGGAGGCTGATCCAGAGACGTCCAGTAGGAAAGAATCTTCCACCAGGAAACCAGAGACAAAAGTGAAAGAGAGGGGGCGGCTAGCGTTCTAATATGAACCCTTTAACTGAAAGACAGGCAGCAGGGAAGATCATGGAAGGGGGTGGCGGGGGACGGTTGTTGAAGAGAGCGATCTCCTAGCGAGAGTTAGCTAGGCTTGAGGCAACTAGCGGTGCCACAGGAGTGGAAGAGGAGAAGTTGCTACAGAAACAGCTTAACAGCTTTCTCTCTGGAAGAGTCAATGGGAAAACCCTTTCTCTTTACTTTCCCTACTCAGCAAAGGGCAGAGGCAATACTCATTCTTCCCACACACACACACACAGAGGTCACTTCTTGGGGCTTACTAATTGCAGCTGCCTTCCCGGCCTGCTTCCAGGCAGCCTCAATTACTGGACATCCTGAGGATTTCCCTCCTGAACTCATATTCGTACTCATATTTCTCACCCCTCACTGATCAGTGGGCAGATGAATTATATTAGCAGTTATAGAGTATATTTTTTCCCAAAAAACATATTTACCTTAGCATCCCTGGCACTTGAAATGTCAAAGGTGGAGAGCTTCTTCCAGAGTTCATAGCAGTATTTTCAGTGGCTTTGTATTCTATTACCCAAGTATCCCACTTCCATGTTGTATATTAGCTTTTTCAATTAAAGGCTGAAGATTTAAAGGCTCATACACTTTAACTGTGGGCAGCTAGGTGTCACAATTCATAGAGAGCCAGGCCTGGAGTCAGGAAGATCTTAGTTCAAATGTTGCCTAACACACTAGCTGTATGACCCTGGGCAAATCACTTAACCCTGTTTGCCTTAGTTTTCTCATCTGTAAAATAAACTGGAGAAGGATACTCCAATATCTTTGCCAAAGAAAGCCCAAAAAGGGGATCAGGAAGAGTGGACACTACTGAAATAACGACTAAACAACATCTTAGAACTGGAAGGGACTTTGGAGGTCACTGTGTTCTACCTATCGCATTATATATGAAGCCCAGAGAGGTTAAGTGACTTGACCAAGGACACCCAACTATCAATTATCTGAGGTATAATTCAAACCCAGATCTCCCTTACTCTAAGCCCAGAACTTTACCCACTACACCATGCAGTCCTGCAATCCTTTGAAAACTTGGCAGTGTTGGTTGTGATAACATATCTGATGGCTATAAACTGAAAGGTACCAGAGCTATAAGTGGCAATTTATGATTTTTATTGAAGTTCTTTTTTTGCTCACACCCTAATTTATATCACTGCACTTCTGCTAATTCGTTGACTGGTACAATGGGTTTGAAATTATGCTCTTGAAACAAGACAATATCATGAAAATACTTTTCTCTGAAACAGAAAAAGAAGAGTTCTGCAATTTCCTTAGCGTAGGAGCTTTCAGATGGTTACACAGAAAGTATATATCAGAAACAGAACTTGAACGTGTCTTCTTGATTATAATGCTTAGTACCCAATATGAGTAAAGAAGTACTCAATACCCACACTGAGAGAGAGAGGAAGGGAGTGTATGAAGCAGACAGATATACTCAATATACTACTGAAATGTATTTTAAAGATGCTTCTTAACCTGTGGGCATTGTATTTATACATAGTATCTATTCCTTATTTTGTAATTCAAATAAAATGACCAGAATAGGGATGTGTGTGTGAAATTATTGTATCTTTTGAAAAAGATTTATTTATGCAGTTATTATATCTCCCTCCCACTGCCTCATTGAACAATTTTAAAATGACAAATAAAATTCTCATAATAAATTGAGTAGTCCAGCAAAATATTCAATGTCCAAAAATGTATTTCTCAGTCTTCATTTTAAGTCTATCACCTCTCTGGGAGGAGGTGGGTGTCATGCTTCATTTTCAGTCATCTGTACTCATGGTTTATCATTATAATGATTAGAGTTCTGAAGTCTTTCAAAGCTATCTTTCTCTACAATTTCATTGTCGTTGCATAATAATTGTTCTAACTCTGCTCACTTCTCTCTACATTAGTTCATAGAGGTCTTCCCAGTTTCCTCTGAAATTGTCCATTCATCATTTTTTATGGTACAATAAATTCTATTACATTCATATACCGTAATTTGTTTAGCCATTTTCCAACAAGAGTGCAATCCCTTAGTTTCCAGTTTGGGGCTAATACAAAAAAAAAAGCTGTTATAAATGTTTGTACATATAGGGTTTCTTTTCCCTTTTTCTTGCATCTCTCTGGGATATAGCCCTAGTAGTGGCATAGTCAGTCAACTAGCATTTATTAGGCACCTACTACTATATGCCAGGCATTGTACCAAATGATGGGAATGCAGAAAGGAAAGGTTCTCAAGAAGCTCACAGTCTAATGGGGAGACAACATGTAAACAACTACATACAAATGATCTCTATAGAGGACAAATTGGAGACAGTCTCAGAGGAAGGGCAGTAATACTAAGGAAGACTGGAAAAGGCTTCTTGCAGAAGGTGGGACTTTATCTGAAATTTGAAGGGAGCCAGGAAAGTAGGAGATGAGGAAAGAGAAAATTCCAAGGATTGGAGACACCCAGTGAAAACCCTTGGAGCTAGGAGATGGAGTGTCTTGTTTGAGGAACAGCAAAAAAGGCCAGTGTTAGTACACTGCAGGTTACTTGGAGTGTAGAGTGTAAGAAGACTGGAAAGGTAGGAAGGAGCCAAGCAATGAAGGACTTTAAAGCCAGAGGATTTTATATTTGCTCCTGAAAATAATAAGAAGCCCTTGGAATTTATTGAATGCAGGTAGGTATGGGTGGGTGTGGTAAGGTGAAATATGCACTTTAGAAAGATAAATTTCACAGCTGAGTGAAGGATGTATTGAAGTGGGGAGAGACTGGAGGCAGGGAGCCCAATCAGCAGGCTGTTGTAATAACCCAGATGTGAGGTGTTTACGGCCTGCACCAAGGTGATGTCAATTTCAGTGAAGAATAGTGGGCATACATACAAAAGCTGCTTCAAAGCTACAAATGACAAATTTTGACAACAGATTGGATTTGAGGAGAGGAGTGAGAATGAAGAATTGAGGATGTCACCTAGGTTGTGAGCCTGGTGACTGAGAGAATGGTGGTACCCTCAATAGTAATAGGGAAGTTGGGAAGAGGGGAAGTTCTTGGGAGATGATAAGTCCAGTTTGGGACATATTGAGTTTAAGATGTCTACAGGACATACACTACAAGATGTCTAATAAGTAGTTGGAGATGAGAGATGGGAAATCAAGAGCTGGATAAGGGTATGCATAATTTAGTAGCTTTGGAAGGCAAAGTTCCAAATCGCTTTCCAGAATGGTTTCATCAATTCACAGCTCCACCAACAGAGCACTATTGTGCCTGTTTTCCCACAGGCCTTCCAATATTGATAATTTTTCTCTTTTGTCATATTTGCAAATATGATGAAACTGAGGTGCTTTAATGTGCATTTCTCTAATTTTTGGTGATTTAAAGCATTTTCTCATGGAGTTATTGATACCTTGGATTTTTTTCCTTTGAAAACTGTTTTTTCATATCTTTTGACAATTTATCTACTGCAGAATAGCTCTCAGTATTATAAATTTGAATCAGTTCTATATAGAAAACTATTAAATTAAGTTATTAAATTAAATATAGTAGAAATTTTCATATGTATTTTTTTCCCAAAAATCAACAAACTTTTAGTGAATA